GTTATAGTCACAGATCCTCTGAAACAGGTTCCTTAAACAGATCACTATGTTTTCCAAGGGACCCTGTTATCTTGATCATACGTGACTGACTAGGATCAATGTCTGACACTAAGGCAATCATCTAATGTTAGACAGCTACCTTGGATAGCCAAAATTCCCACAAAAGAATAGAATCTATCAGTAATAACAGAGTATTATCTATAGTTAAAACCACAGAATAGTAGAGTCACTACACTGGCTCACGACTAGTGTGAAAACCCACAGCAACAAATAATCTGATGCTGAATGCATCCAAAACACTGAAGACCTAGCTCCTAAATGACATTCTCACCTCCATGATAGCTGACTGTACGATAAGTGAAAAAAATTATCTTCCCTCTGTATTCTGCAGGGGTTTATGTCTAAAATGCTCGACAGGAGGAGGGTTATACTGGTTCCATTAATTAAGGGAATATGCCAGATTCCTTATAACATGAAAGATCTACATTACTTAATTATCACCTTTAAAAATGTTCAAAAAACTTGGGACTAATAATAAGTGTAAACAGACAGAAACAGTAGGATATTATTAGAGCACACAAAAGCCCATAAAGTTTCATTATGCAAACTGGTGACTGGAAAGTTTGTAGGACAAAAGGAAATACTGCCTTAACTTTTGTTCCATCTGTGGATACTGAATCCTAACCTTTGTCTCATCAAGTTTTCTGAGTCAGCTGAAAAAAAAAAAAAAAAAGGCAGGAAAACTTGCATTTTAAACATTCTATGTCGGGGCTGATGGAGTGACTCAAGTGTTAAAGAGTTCCTGTCTAGCAAGCATGAGGCTCTGTATCGCCAAACAAACAAACAAAAAAACACCCTTTGGAAAATCTCATTTTCAGAACTGCACAGAAATAGAATTCTTGAACTTGGTCTTTAAGCAAAGTTCAAGAATTCAAAAAATAACAGACAAAAATAGTGTAAATAGCTCAGTCACTAGTAACAAAAAAATGTTACACAAATAAAACTAGATACACAAATCTAACAGGAAATCAATGTTGGGTGGCTAAGTAAAAATAAGAATTAAACATAAGGACTAAAAATAGTCAATATTTTATTTTCCTTCCAAGAACAGAAAAATGACTCCACACCTTTCTTATCTTGATAATAATCAGCTGCTCCTTTCTCCCCAGTTCCAGGTCAAAAACAGGCTTGACTGAAGATAGCCTAGGAGAGGCCAGGAGGTAGGATGACAGTAAAATCTTTCAACTGGATATCTTCATACAAGAGTATGACCAGATATATATCATTTTACGCAAGGAAAATTAATCCTAAAATGGAACTTTCTCTTCCCAGACTTTTATATATCATTTTACACAAGGAATATTAATCTTAAAATGGAACTTTCTTTTCCCAGACTTTTATATATCATTTTACACAAGGAATATTAATCCTAAAATAGAACTTTCTCTTCCCAGATTTTCTTTCAATCTGCATTCCTGTCCCTTTTAAAAATTATTCAAGGTATCCTTGAAGAAAGTACTTTTTTTTTTTTTTTTGGCAGCAGTGGGGTTTGAACTCAGGAAAGAACTATTTAAATACACAAAGGGAAAAAGCAAACTAAGTCACAAAGCTGTGCAAGTTCCCTTTTCCTTATCCCTCCAGTATTTCAAGTAGAATACACCAAAGTAAAAAAAAAGCCAAGCAATTCTGGTCAAAATGAGCCCACTGCAAAATTTCAGGAATCCTTAGTACAGTCTGAAAGGTGCTCAAGCAAAGAAGACCATAAAGCAATAAGACACACACATATAAACTTCATACTGGTAATATGAGAAAATAAATGTTTTAAAATTACACTGCAACGACTTTCCATTCAAAATGAGTCAAAAAAATAAAGACTACATACAGGTTAGTTGAAGGAGAGTAAGGAGGGACCCAGTACCATTCTTTCTATAAAACTAAACCAATTACTTAACAACACTCTTGCATTTGCAATTTACAAGCTTTAACCATCTATGAAAATCTTTTACGAATCTATGAGACATTCACTTTTCACTAAAAATACACAGACAAAAATAAGTATCTCCCCTCCCAATGGCTTTTTTCCAATGTGAAAAGAGCATGTAAACTAAAAACTTAAAATCAGGGTATGTATTTTTTAAGATCTAAACTTGTATAATCCTGAACCAAACAAATGAATTAAAAAAAATTGAGGAAATTAAAACACTGATTGAATATTGGATAATATTTAAGAAATCATTGCTACTATTCTTTGGACTTGATGATGGCATTGTAGTTGTATTGTTATACTTCTGTAGTAGTTTTTTCTCCCGTAAGTATCATTCAGATATACCTGAAGGATTTGCTGAGATTTGAATATCAACAGGTGGGTGAAACAGGCTTGGTGTTGTGCTAATAATGGCTAAAGAGCCATAAATGACACAAGAGATTTTATCATACTCATTTTCCTGCTTTTTGTCTCTACTTTTCCTTTACTGCTGAAAACTGTTCTCAGCAAGGAAAACATGTAACCTATAAAAGTCCTGTCAAAAGTACAGAAATTTGTGTTTCAATAAACCACCCAGATATCTGCTTATTTTTTCTCATTCCCCTGATTTAATTAACACTAAATTCTATTCTCCAAACCAATTAACTTCCTCCAGTGGTCCTAAAACAAATACAAGACTGTAGCTTTTTAATTCCACTCATCAGGTTAGGCAAGTGCTGGGTGAGGAAGACATACAGGATTCAAACTTATAATCTCATTTTAACTTCAAGACCACATATGTTTTGAGTTAAAATGATGAACTAGCGTAAGTTTGGTTTGGTTTTGAATTTATCTTACTCTCTCCCTACTATTTAAACAAAGTTTGGTGGGTAGCGCCCAAAGATGTGAAGTAACAGATGGTTGTCCGCTCCCAGGAAGTAAACTTCTCATGAGAAGAATAAAAGAGTCCATCGACTGTGACAACAGAAAAGCTCCCCAAAACGTCTGGGTACGTCACTCCGATACACTCTCAACACTCGTTCACCCCCCAAAAAGCCTTTCAAGTGGTTAGAAAGCAGCGACCCTGGTTGGCTTGTTTCTTCTCCTCCTCCTTTCTTAGGGGAGGTGCTAGAGAGCAAAGAAATGACCAAAAGACAGGCCGGAAGAAGAAAAGCGAGAAGCATGGAGTCTCGGCAATCATCACTTAAAAGAATCTGAGACGTGTGTCCAAATTCGATGAAGTTAAGAGAGAGAGAGTGAGTGTGTCGCTCGCTAGACACCTCCCAACTCCCAAGTTCTCGAGCAGTTCCGAGAGGAGGAAAGCCCGGCGGCACGTCCATCACGTTCGGGTCCCTCTCTACCCCGGTATTCACAGGTACAAAGGCATTAAAAGAACTCTCCCCGGCCCTTGCCCACAGCAGCACCGAAATCCCAACTCCCTGAGGCGGGGCCACACAGGCCTGGCGGCCCCGAGCCGGGAAAGCCACCGAGCCCCTCCCCGCGCGGCCAGGAACCGCAGACGACTGCCGGACTCCTCGGGCCAGGCACCTCTGCCTTTCCACACCCGCGAGGGACAGCGACGGGACTGACCCTCGGCTGGAGGGACCCGCTCGCCGCCGAGGCCCTCCGCGCCCGCCCGGCCTGGAGTTTCGGACCCGCGCCGCCCACTCCGAGCCCCGGCCCAGCGCCCCGCGAGACCCGCCGCGAGCCTCCAGCCCAGTCCGACCCCGCGCGCGGCGGGACACGCGCGCCCCACGGGAGCGCGGCAGCTGTTACCGTACGGACCCAGCCACTGCCTACCTGTCTTCGCTCTTGTTTTTCTGTTTCTTCCCCATCGCTTGTCAGCGTCGCTTGTGGACCCAGCCTTCGCTTCGGTCTCTCACAGACCCGCTGTCCTCCGGCTGACTTCGGTCTCCGCTCTGCTCCGTCTCCCTCGCTCTGCCGCCTCACACCCGGCTCTCCACAGACCCGCGCACTGGGACAGGGCACATATGGTGTGAGCCCTCAGCGCGCAAGCGCAGCGCCCCGCCGCCTCGGCGTGGGGACGCAGGGCGCGGCTCATCGAGAGCTGCGCTTCGGGTAGAGCGTCTCCAGTTAACCCACCAGCCAGGGAGGAACCCGAGCGCCCCCTGCACGCGAGCGTTCGCAGTGCACCGACGCACGGCGTTTTCCAGGTTCTAGAACCGGGAAGTGAACAATGAGGCTGTTCGTTTCCCACGTCAACACTCTCCCCGCGAGGGAATTCAATGGCGGGGGCCAAGGTGGGGGGGCTGCATTTGGTTCAAAAGCGGGCCTTAGACGTCCCTTACACCTACATACTCTCAGCTGCACGAAGTTCAGTAAAGAACCACAACGAACCAGTGTGGAGCCCGGTGCAGCTCCTGAGGGAAATAAATCCAGGACGAAAATTGGGATCGCAGTAACATTGATGGAATATGAGCTATGTACAGTTATGAAAGGAAAAAAATGTAAGGACATGCCCACCTATTCCCTTATATGGGCTTCAATCTTTACATTCAGAACGAGAGCAAGTTCTAAAAATTCCTAAGTTTAAGAAGTCAGGAAGATGCTGGGGTGGGTGAAAATGTTCCATATCAGATCTTTGCGGTGATATTACGGGTTTGAACTATATAAAAATTAATCGTGCTGTGTAAGTTATAAGTCAACTTCATATAGCCAATAAACACAACGGAAATGAAGTTCGTGTATCACTCCTGAACAAGATCGTAGCTATTTCATTTCTGGTGTAACATGAGTACTGACGCACTAACTTTCTTGAAGTCAGGCAACTGCGCACACACAAAAAAAAAAATCCTATAATTTATAGTATACTTCGCTCTCTCCCCCTCGAGGATGCTTATCCAGAGGGAAGCAAAGGAAAGACCCGGATTCTTGGGAGTTCCGAGTGCCTGGGAAAAGGCACAGAAGCAAAACCGCAGGTAATACGTTCGGCCGCCTCTTCCGCGGGCGTTCTCGGATAATATCGCGAGAGTGGTGCAGCCAATCACGGGACGGAAGTGACGCTCGGCTCGTAACCTCCGACAGCTGCTGCGAGGCTGAAGTGACAGTGGACCGGTCTTCTAGAGCTGCTGCTCCCTCAGTCTTTAGGCGTCACCGAGAGCTTAGGTGAGGCAAACGGTGCTGTTACAGATCCAGCCTCGGGATCCCACTGCTGATGAGCACATCGCCCCTCCACAGCCGGCTGGGTTGGGGGAGGGATGTGGTTCGAAAGCCTGAGTGTGTTCTGCGGCTGGGGCTGTGGCGCATGCGCCAGGGGAGGCATTGAGGTCGCCGCGACAGGCGCTGCCCTCATCTGTCCGTGGGACTCGGGGAGTGGTAAGAAGACTACTGGGAAGACAATCCTGAGAATGGTTAAGGTGAATTGGCAGATGTCTGTCAGGGAATTAAAGAAATGTTTGGAAAATTTGAGGACATTCGATATTTCTTTGCACCCTTCCAATTTATCTAAAAAGGAAGAGTCAGAGGCTGCGCGGTTCCTTACAGAAATTATAATGAATGTCTTGGGAATTAAAGAAATGAAACCATGAAGAAGCTGGCTGTCTTTTGCTCAGCTCTACTGGTTGAAGCACACTTTGACAAGTTTATGTATCTGTAAAATAGTAGAAATCTCTTGCCATTGTTTACAGTCATTCTGCTCTGCTTTCCTTTTCCTTTGGTAAAAAACTGATTGTCAGTACATAGCCTTAAGCATAACTCTACAACTCATTTCTACGTGGTTTGGTAATGGTCTTAAAAGATTTGTCTTTGCCTTAACATGGTAAAGTACAAATTAAATCAGAAGCACCTAAAATTTGCTGTGAGTAGTTTCGTTTCAGTCTTTAATTTAATTTTTTTTGGGGGGGGAGCAGGTGGGAGGTTGCAAAGGTTTTGTTTCTGGATATACCTGTAATGTTAACATTCTTTTTGGGGGGACAGTACTGGAATTTGAACTCAGGGCCTCATACTTGGTAGGAAGGCACTCTGCCACTTGACACATGCCCTTTGTCCTTTTTTGCTTTAGTTATTTTGACCATAGGGTCTCTCTCATTTTTGCCTGGGAGCAGCCTCAGACCAGTGCTTCCCATATAGCTGAGATTATAGGTGTGTGTGTCCATTTCTCAATTGAATTGTGATTTAAAAATGTTTCCATTGGTTTAAGTTACCTGGAAATACATTATCACCAGTCTGTTTTCTTTTCAGTTAGCTATGACAAAAACATGACCTTTACTTTTTTGAAGTTTCGATATGACTATAACCTACTGAAAATTAAGCTTAAAAGCATTTAAATAATTTTTTTGACACAATCTCCATATGTAGTCCAGGCTGGCCTTGAACTTGAAATCCTCCTGCCTCAGCCTCCCAAGGGTTGGGATTATAGACATGCACCAAACCCAGCTTTTAAATAAAAATTCTTAAGCCTAAGGTCAAGTGCTTGGGAGTCAGCAGAATACTCCATGAAATATACATACAGTTGCCAAAATTTTTGAAAATGAAAAAAAATTTTGCTTATTATTTGCTTTTTCTTTCTCATTTATTTTCTTCCCTCCCCCAGCACCAAGGCTAAACTGTACCATTTAGAAGAATGGAGGGTGATGCGTCTGTTGACATGTTCTCAAAAGTCCTGGAGAACCAGTTACTTCAGACTACCAAACTAGTAGAAGAGCATTTGGATTCTGAAATTCAGAAACTGGATCAGATGGATGAAGATGAATTGGAACGCCTCAAAGAAAAGAGACTCGAGGCACTCAGGAAAGCTCAACAGCAGAAACAAGTAACCTCCCTGAACTGCTTTCTGAAATTGCTGTAACAGTATGCTCCTAACAACTTGCACATGTGTATGCTGTAGTAGTTACACCTCAGTCCTCATTTTTAGAGTTTTTATGAATTCAGGTATCTACCACTGATAAAAATTTGTTCAGGATAAAACATTAGGGAAAACGTAGGCAAGATGTGATATCTGAAGAACTGATGTATGAAAGAGATTAAAATTTTTCTCTCTAATCTTAGTACAAGCTAGGAACCACCAATCAAATATAGTTGTGGTCATATTGGAGTTACGTGTGAGAAGACATTTTCTAAAAATTATATAGTATAGGTACAGATGCTTTTTAAGCACACGTGTCAGGGACTGATTTAGGCATCTTTATGAAGATTGCCTCATTTTAAGATAGTTTCCATGTAGATTGCCTATTTTGAGATAGTTTCTTTATCATGTCTATGTTACAAATGAGGAAATTGAGGCTCAGAAATCTCTCTAGAGTTCTAGCCCAATAAGTGATGGGAAGGGCATTGAACATGTGCCTTCTGCCTGTAAGCCCAGTGCTCTATTTTATTAAAACCAACTGCCTAAAAAGGGTTATGAGCTTCCAGTTAAGGTGAGAAGCATCCGGCCACAGGAAAGGTTCAAGAAGCTGAAAGGTGTCTCAGGTTAATAAGGTACTCTGCATTGGTTTGGAAAATTGGATTAGATATAAGATCTTCATGGGTTCTGGATACCGTGAGTGGACTATTTTTTCCTGAGGACACTGCCCATTGGTGGCCAGTGTCCACCAATGCTACTTGCCACTCTGAGGTAGTCATCAGATGCAATCAGGAATCCCAAGCTTCTGAGCTACAGTAATCTGCCTCTGTCCACAAAACTGTCTGGCTTGTCTCATGAAGATTTGGTATGTTGGTTTTTGCTATGGATGGAACATTGCTTTTTAAAGTGTAGAACTAGGGGCTGTAGCTTAGTGGCAAATCATTTACTTAGCATACTTGAAGAACCTGTATTCAACCCCCCAGCTCTGGAAAAAAAATAAAACTAGAACTAAAAAAATTTTTGTAGCCAGGCCCTGGTGGCTCACGCCTGTAATTCTAGCTACTCAGCAGGCAGAGATCAGGGGGATCACAGTTCAAAGCCAGCCCAGGCAAATAGTTCCCAAGACCCTATCTCAAAAAGGGCTTTTGGAGTGGCTCAGGTTGTAATCCCTGAGTTTAAACCCCAGTACCAAAAAAAAAAATTGTAATAATAACTTGTACCAAATGTTTCTGGCTTTAGTAGCTTAAGAGCAAAAAAAACAGATAAATGGATATTTACATTCTGAGTCTCTATAGAGTCTAAATTTTTATTATGAAAGTTCTGAGAAAACAAGTATCTTAAATTATTAAAACAATAATTAATCCAACCTTTGCTGTGATGGAGATGGTCACTGTGCACAGGCTAGTTTGGCATTTATTGATCTGTATCAGGGAAGTAAACTGCTAAAAGGAATTCATTTCTCTACAGGATAAAATCAGCTTCGCTACAAAATAAATAATACAGTGATTGAGACCACTTAAAACATCAAATGGTACTGAAAGAAATATTTCACATGTATATTTCACTTCTCTCCAAATTAGGAATGGCTTTCTAAAGGACATGGGGAATACAGAGAAATCCCTAGTGAGAGAGACTTTTTTCAAGAAGTCAAGGAGAGTAAAAAGGTAGTTTGCCATTTCTACAGAGATTCCACATTCAGGTAACTTTGTTCCCATTCTTGATTTACCTTTAAAACATAATGAGATGTTTGGATAGAGATTCACTACTGACTTAATAGAAAAATTAAGAAAACTAAAAGGAACAACTTCCCAAGTTGTTTCATGGTACTCTAGTATGTTTTTTTCAATGTTCTCATCCACATGTTAAACAATCGTTACTTTAATGATTAATCTAAAACCCAATGGCATGCAAATATATAAATGAATCTTACTAAAGTCAGTATTCCCATATAAATGGCTTATAGTTCCTAAATTCTATTTTCACTAGCTAACTCTAAAAATGTCTTAGAAATGTACACTTAAAGTTCTCATCAGAACAATTATTTCTGCATTTTTCTCATTCTGATAATATAGCCATGATGTTGGAAATTGGGGGAGGCCAAAAGCTTTCACAGTTGGGGTTTATTCACTCTCTCCTTTTCAGGTGTAGACTCTAGGTGTCTACAGTGTCTTGACCAAGCCTTTCACCAGAAGCATAGTTGAGACTGCCAGGCTTGATTAGAAGAAATCACTTCTCTCAGACCAACCAAGTCTAGGAATCTAAGGAGAAAGATCTCTTAGAAACTGAAAGTACTCCCAAGAAGAGTTTTTGTTTGTTTGTTGTTTTCTTTTTTTGGTTATACTGGGGAAAACCCAGAGTCTTTCACATTTTAGGCAAGAACTGTACCATTAAGCTCCATCCCTAGCCCAAGAGATTGTTATATCTTAAAGGAGTCAAGCTTGTTTTTTTTTTTGTGGGGGTGGTTCCTCAAATTTGATGAGTTGCCAACATTTAAAAATTGACAATTTAAAATACCAGATTTCAGTTTTCTTTAAAAGTCAGAAAACTTAATAGCAGACCTAGAATTAAGTATGATAGCAACTTTCTGGTGCTAAGTAGCAACTGCCTTTCTTAGGTGGACATACACTAATGTAGAGTCTGTCACCCACTTGTCTCAGTTCTGCCCTCTTCTGTCTTTGCTGTCACCGACCTGGCCTTGTCTTGGTCTCACCAACAACTTCATCATTAGTTAATAACTTTCAGGGATTGACTGCATGAGGTTCATTGACTAAGAATAAAAATTGAAATACTGAAATGGTTAAATTCCTAGAAGAAATGAGGGAAGAGATTAGAAAGGTACAAGGGTATTTTTAAACTTCTGGTCTTGAAGGACACTATCATCTGTCATTGGCATATATTCCTTAGGTTGTCAACCTCTGACATTTATGACAAGATGATGTACTGATACCATATCAGTATGTAAGATTGGTATTATTTATTCACTTGTTTATCATATGTTGTCCTCTACTAGATGGTGACTTTTGTAAAAGCAGAGCATTTGTACCATGGCCCACTCTGTTCTGGATTTGTAGCCCTAGAGCAGCAATTCCTGACACATAGCAGAGGCTCAGTGAATATATTTGATGGATAGGTAAACAGTTCTGTACTTACTGTCAAACAGAACTGGAAGATCAAAATTCAGCTAATGCACTATTTGACATATCTACCAATGTTCTTAGCTCATAGTAGACTGGTACTTTCATGCATATTTTCTTTGTTAACATTAACAATAACTCTTTGAGGTAAGTATTATATTTCCTGTGTTTCTTGTGTGGAAACCAGGGCTGAGAGATTGACTCATCTAATGTTAGTCAGCTACTAAGCAATAAAAGAGGGATTTGAACTCATGTTTTATGCCTGAGGCTATTTAACTGCACTATGACTACAGTTTCTGGATTTTTAGGTGCTTTGATTGGGTTTGATTTTGGTCGTTTGATTATTTGCAGTGCTGAAGATCAAGCACAGGGCCTCATACATGCTGGGTTTTTAAAACTGGGTTAAGGCCTAGTGTGGCGGTGAATACCTATAATTCCAGCTCTCAGGAGAGTTGAGGCAGACTATCTTGAGTTTGAGGCCAGCCTGGGCTACATAGTGAGACCTTGTCACAAAAACACAGAATCCCCAAAAGGAAGGGTAAATGACAAATGATTGATTTAAAATAGGTTCACAGACTTATTAAAATGGGTTCCTTCCTACAAAGTATGGGGTTGATTTATGTACAAATTTTCAGGAACATATTTCTCATACAAAGGTTCATTTATCATTTGTTTTGACTTTCATTTAAAAGCCATTAAATTGTTCTCTTAACCTTTTTCACTAAAATCTCACTCTTGAACTCCATGGGTGATATTTAAAAAGATGGCATTTGGTGGAAAGTGACAACACTTTGAAGGTTACACAGAACTTGCTAAACCCAAACCTAGTTCAGGAAAAACACCAAGTGTACAAAAAGCTTACTAATAAAAACAACCAGAAGTGTATGGTGTGCTAATCTTCTGACACAGGTCTCAGAATTTATTGGGCACACCTGTATATTTCCCACCTCCTCCCACAGAGAACTTGGATTCATCTGTATGTTTTTAAAGTTGATCGTAATGAACACCTGAGATTTAAGAACCTCTGATCCCAAAGATTGTTACAACAGTTGGTTTCAGAAATGCTACACAATTGGCCAGTTAAAAAATAGATTTTAATTTAAAGAAAACATCACTTCTATCACCAATAGAAGGTGGCTTAATAAAAGTCACTACAGGTCCGAGAGTATGACTCAGACTCAGAGCACTTGACTAGCATTTGTGAAACCCTGGGTTCAATCCCCAGCACTGTTAAAAAAAAAAAAAAAAAAGTCACCTCTGCTATTTTTCACTTCTTTAGAACCATAATGGCCACGTTTATTTAACGATCATTAGTATCCTTTAACTTTAACATGCTCCTCACTGACATGGTTACACATTAGAAGAGTTATTTCTCAGTGAACCAGTTTGGTCTTCCTTGCTGACCTCCAAATATGACACTGTGCATTTCTAAGTCTAAAAGTCTTCTGAGTTCTATCAATTTTAGATGTGTTCCTCTTCAAACTTTCCTGTATGAAATACCAAACACTTTGCATATGGGAAACAAAATCTTGATTTTTCTCTTTTTTTTGGCTCTTAGCAGGAACACAACTTCTTGAGAACCCCTTTCTGACTTACAGAATATATTTTATATTTTTGTTTTTAAAATAAATATCACTGGAGCAAATCTAACTTTCTAGAATCGTTATGTGCTTTTATGCCTCTCAGGCAGTTAACCTATGACCTCGGAATGAGGTCATCTGACACGAGTGTAGGTTGACTGTCAGATTACAAGTGTCATAAAGAAAAACTATAAAATCAAAGGCACAATAATATTTATTTTAAAAATTCTGTTACTTTAGCTTTTAACATTTTAATGTGTTGCTACAGGTGTAAAATACTAGACAGACATTTGGTGATACTGTCCAAGAAACATCTTGAGACCAAGTTTTTGAAGCTGAATGTGGAAAAAGCACCTTTCCTTTGTGAGAGACTTCGGATCAAGGTCATTCCCACACTAGCCCTGGTAAAAGATGGGAAAACACAAGATTATGTTGTTGGATTTACCGACCTAGGAAATACAGATGACTTCACCACAGAAACTTTAGAATGGAGGCTTGGTTGTTCTGATATTCTTAATTACAGGTAATCTTTAACAAAAGAATAGATTTATTTAAAATCATACACAGTTGATAGCTTTAGAAGAATTTCTGTAACTTAACATTTATGAAATTAAGACCTGTTGGCTGAGATGTAGGTACTTTCTCAGAGGAACAGCATATTTCTTTTTTGTTGGGATTTTTGTTGCTTTGTTTGTTTGAGATGGGGGATTTTCCCCATGTAGTCCAGGCTGTCCTTGAACTCACAGTCCTCCCTCTGCCTCCTGAGTGCTGGGATTATAGGCATCCACCACCACATCTGGCTGGAAAAAGCTTTCCTTTTCCTTTCTTTTTGTAGTAAAAGTAATAGTAAAGCTTATTAGGAAAGGACTACACTTTGAATAGACATTTTCTAGAGACCTGGGAATGAGCAAGCTTATTTCTTAAAGCTCCATTAGCATGATTTCACAGCAAAATCAGATTTATATGTAAAACTGAGTCTTGGCATATACATGACTAAAAATTTTCAACATAACAAATGTTTCAGAAACTAATTCTGTATTAAGCTGGAGACCCACAAAGACACTTGAGAATGGAATCCTCCCCGTATTGTTTTCTTTTGTTCTTACTTATTTATTTTGCGGTATTGGGGTTTGAAACCAGAGTCTCACACACAATAGATGTATCACTGAAATAGGCCCCAGCCCCACTTCTCTAATTTAATACTGACTTAAGTGATTATCTTTGATGAAATTAAAATTTAAAACACTACTATAAAAGTTTTTCACATGTAGAATCTGGAAAATGCAAAAAGGTTTCTATATTTAGCTTATGCTACTAATGGAGAACAGTTGTTCCTATATAACACAGATTATTGATATCTATTAAAGAAAATTTTGTATTTTGAAATCACACTTTAGATGTTGCAAACTAGCACAAGGACTTCTCATATATCCTTTACCTGTATGCCCCAATTTTAAGCATTTTCCAGATTCTTTGTAGATACATATACACAAGTTTTGTAGAATCATTTGAATAGAAGTTACAAATGCCATATCCCTTTATTCCTAAATAATTCCATATGTATTTCCTAAGAATAAGTACATTTTCTTACATATGAGAGTACAATTATCAAAGCAGGAATTACTCAATTTATAGACCATATTCAAATTTGCCATCATCCCCTAATTGTCCTCAGTGCCCAAAAAAAGTGTCACATTTAGTTACCATGTGTCTTTAGTTTCTATTAACCTGCAACAATTTGTTACCAGTTCTTTGTTTTTCGGGACTTTGCGGGGTTTGAAGAGTGTAAGTTATCCAGTTTCAGTTTATACAGTGTTTCCTCAAAATTAGATTCAGATCAGACATTGTTAGCCTTATTACAGGAGTGACATTGGGCTGTTTGTACCAAGGGGCATGTGACGCTTCGTCTCATTTCCAGGAGTAACTTAACTGCATTTGGTTGTCCACTTCTCTACCATGCCAATTGGCAATTTAATGAGAAACTACCCTATCTCCTACACTTACTTTTTATTCAATGATATTAGTATGGTTTGTGAATTACTTAATGAATTATTTACTTTCCCCATTTATTTTGCAACTCAGGTTGTCCCAGATTTGGGCAGTGAGAAATCCTTTCACACTAGCCTTTATGTTCCTTCACTGTTCTTTTCTGATCCAAACAAGACGTTTAAGGGAGCCTGGTGCCAGTGGCTCATGGCTGTAATCCTAACTACTCAGGAGGCAGAATCAGGAGGATCATGGTTCGAAGCCAGCGGAAGCAAATAGTTTTTGAGACCTTATCTTGAAAAAATCCTTCACAATAAAAAAGGGGGTGGCAGGCTGGTAGAGTGGCTCAAGGTGTAGGCCCTGCACTCAAACCCCAGCACCACCAAAAAAAAAAAAAAAAGTGTTTAAGGGAGGCTTAAATTGTATTTTACCTGGAATTTGCTATTTCTTTAAGGAGCCATTCTTTTTCTTTTCTTTCTTGGTTTGCTGTGTAACCTATGTTGTCCTCAAATTTTTGATCCTCCTATCTCAGCCTCCTGAATGCTGGGATAACAGGTGTATGCACTATACCTGATGATATATCAAAAGCAATATCTGGGTATTAGAAGTAATCCCAGATGCTTTTGAAAGAAAAATTGTCTTGTTTCATTTATTTCTCAAGTATCATTGAAAAGAATTTTTTTAAAAAGGCTTCATGTCAATTCCAGATTAATGCTAATGCATTCTTAGCTGGGTGCAGGTGGCTTTGATTGGGAGGATCATCATTCCATTCCAGCCTAGGCAAATAGTTCATGAGACCCCATCTCAACCAGTTGTTGGATGTGCTGGCATGCTCGTCATCCCAGTGACAGTGGGAAGCATAAAACAGGATTCAGTCCAGGCCTGCCTACACAAAAAGCAAGACCCTATCCCCAATATAACCAAAGTAAAAAAAGGCTAGAACATGACTCATGTGGTAGAGCACTTCCATAGTAAGTGTGAAGCCCTGAGTTTGAACCCAGTACCATCCCAAGAAAAAAATAGATAATGTATTCTTTAAGTTTTGCTCATGTCTGTAGAAATCTTAAACATTAGGAAATGTTAAACTGAACCAAATCAGTCATAGCAAAGCTATTTAAAATAGAGCAGATAGTGGTCTATCATTCTCACAGTAAAAAGTAACAGAGTTCAGCATATCTATAGCCAGTAAAACCAAACACTCTGCTTTTCAGTTTTACAGCCTACAAAATGTTAATCAGTAATTAATGATAAAGGAGAAAAAACCAAATTGATCTAAAACATTGTGTACAAAAATAAGATTACAAAGCTATTAACTATTAATATGGGTATTATACTTTCCTAATACAGATGTTTTAGAGAAATTTTCTTTAATTCTCTGTGTTCTGTATGTTATAATGAAAAAGATTTACTTTGCATTCTAGTGTACCAAGTGTAATATGTCTTAAAGAATAAAATGTTTTCCATATTTGTTTTCTGTTTAGTGGAAATTTAATGGAGCCACCATTTCAGAGCAAAAAGAAATTTGGGACAAACTTCACAAAGCTGGAAAAGAATACTATTCGAGGAAAGAAATATGATTCAGACTCTGATGATGATTAGAGCTCAATTGTAATTCTTTGTAAATTGTCTGTTTCTGTTTACTTCAGATATAAATGTGTTTTCTAAATTGTACTGATTTCACTACACTGCTCACTTAATACTCATATTCTGGAGTTTTATACAGTTCCATCACACTAAAAGGCATCTTTACTATTTTCTGTGAGTTCATCATGTTTAAGGTGAGGGAAACTTTGTTGTTTTTCAGTGACTTAGAAAGGGTCTGGTTTCTCTATTTTTGAGATTGATTTTATCATAATATGATTCTTACATCTTTATACCATTCACCATTGTGTTTTTAATCTACTAAGCTGAAAATAGAAATTCAGCAAACTTTTCCAAACTAACTCTTAATCAGTGTTATTTATACAACAAGCCACATAACATTTACTGGTGTAACACTCTGCACTTGTAAATGAATTATAAACACTTCACTTGTGGAATATTTAAATAACTATTAAAGAACTGCTAACTTACTCTAGATGCTGCATGTTGATGTTGAATCAACTGATAGCAGCAGAACATTCTTTTAGGTTGTGAACAATATATTGCCTTATTCAAAGTGTCCTCATTGCTTATATTTTAAAACATACATTAATATTAGGAAGCTGGGCATAGTGGAGCACATCTGCAATCCCAGCAGAAATAGGATCACAGTCTGAAGCTAATCCAGGCAAAAGCACAAGACCCTATCTCAAAAGCAAGCTTAAAAAGCAAAAGGACTCAGGGCATAGCTCAAATGGTAGGCAAGCATTTGAATTCAACCTCCAGTACTTCCAAAACAGAAGAGGAGACTATAGCACCATGATAGCAGCAAGCAAAAAGAAGCCCGATGAAACGTTCAACGGAGAATAAGAGGCAACTAACAAAGTGCCCTAAAGTTAGAACTAGCCTCAAAGATACTGTACAGGATTCTGAATTTATTTGGGTCACAGTGCAACTAAGCCTGGGAATGTAGGTCAGTGGTGGGACTTGTATTTAGCACTCATGAAGTCCTGGATTCAGTTTCCAACATGTTAAGAGAAATAAATCAATCAAAACAACCTGATGCCTCAGAGCACTTTCAGTAGGTTAAATTGGTCGTAGTGGTACACATCTAATCCTAACACTCAAGAGGCAGAGGCAGGAGGATCACGAGTTTGAGGCCACCCTGGGCCACTTAAGGAGATCCTATCTCAAAATTCTAAAGGGTTACTTAGAAGTTAGTGGATCCTAGTAGCAGGATGGCAGACCAAGTAGGACCTTTTCAAAGAGACTGAGGGAAATAGGCTATTATTGCCCCTGGGGACAGAAGGCAGAATCAAAGAGTGACTGCACATGTCCAGGCTGTACTCAGTAGAGTGGAACACCAGAGGCTGCACCCTTCACTTAGTTAACTGGAATAGTTAAGCAAAGTAAAACAAAAAGGGGAGGGAGGCTCTCAGAGAACCTGGATGTTGGGAGTCAGCAGATGAAGTGCTGTTATACATTTGTTCAAAATAACTGAAGGAGCTGGGCACTGGCATCTCATGCCTGCAATCCTAGCTATGCAGGAGGCAGAGAGCAAGAGGATCACAGTTCAAAACCAGCCCTGGCAAATAGTTCTTGAGACCCTACCTTGAAAAAATCCTTCACAAAAAAAGGCTGGTGGAGTGGCTCAAGGTGTAGGCCATGAGTTCAAACCCCAGTACCACAAAAAAAAAAAAATAAGAAATTGTGCAGGAGGTAAAAGAAGGTATTAAAATACTTCAAATATCAGTAAGGAGAGAATTACTTTTTGTTGTTGAGACAGCCAGCATCTCCTTATGTAATCAGGCTGGCTTGGAACTTGCTCAACAGATTTGAGTTTGCTATAGGAAGAACCAGCAAATGCGGAGATCTATGTAGATCACGCACCCGAACAGCAGGAGAAATCAGCACCCAAAGAATAATATGGGACATCAACTGTACATAACAGGGTTAGAAGGAAAGAAGAAAGAATTATTTGGGCAGGGGTATAGCTCAGTGGTAATGTGCTCCCATAAACTGACTGAAGCCCTAGGTTCCATCCCCAGCAACACACAAAAAAAATTCTGAAACCCCCAAATTGGATTAATTTGATTTGATTAATCCAAGAAGATCAGCAAGTTATAGAAGATAAGGCGGGGGGGGGGGAGGGGGGGGAGGAGGGGAGGGGGAGATATGACTCAAGTGGTAGAGCACCTGCCTAGCAAACTAACAAGCACAAAGCCCTAGTACTGAAGGGGAAAAAAAAAAAAGAAAACCTCATTGAGTCTACTGTTCACTGAAAACACAGAGGTCTTAAGACAGAAGGATGAAATGCCGAGTTCTGAAAGAAAAATACCTGTCAACCAAGAATCTTGAATCTTAAATCTCAAAAAACTAATCAAGGCCTGAGGCTGGTAGAGTGGCTCAAGTGGTAGCGCAACTGTCTAGCAAGCATGAGGCCCAGAGTTCAAGCCCCATTACCTCAAAAAAAAAAAAAAAAAGGCCAAAGTGCATGCATGTGTGTCTGTGTGTGTGTTTTAAGGGGGTGGGATAGGACGAGAATTTGTTCCTAGAAATGCCTTATTTTTATTTATTTCAGTACTGGAGAGTGATCCCAAAGCCTCATACTTAGGCAAGTTCTTGAGCCATGCCCCAGCCTTTGGAATTTTGTTTTTGAGACAGGGTTTCACTATCTTTGCCCAGGCTGGCCTCAAATTTTACATCCTACCATCATCCCCCAAGTCTCTGGGATCACAGGAATGAACCACTATACTTTAAAAATGTTCAAAAAGTTTTTCAGGCTGAAAACAAGTAAGACTACACACTAACTCAAAACCTCTCCCTCCCTCAAACAATGCCAGTAGTGATTATTATGTAAAACTTAGAAAAGGCATTGTAATTATTTTTTCTAGCTTTGATTAAAACAATGTAAGTTATAGTCTTACGTCTCTAACACAGAAGTATATGCTCGTGACAATAAAGTTGGTGATAGTAAATCTGTGATGCAGTAGTAAATCCTCAAGAAATAGAGTCAAAAATGAGTCAATTAAAAGGACTTAAAGTCATCCATGGTGGCACATTCCTGTAATCCCAGCATTTGGGAGGCTGAGGCAAGAAAATCTCAAGTTCCCGATCAGCCTGGGCTGCAGAAGGAAACCCTGTCTCAAAAAGAAAAAGAGTTAATAAAAGCTATGTGTACACTTCAGCTATTTTTAGAGACAAAAATTATGAAAAAGCACTGAAGGAATGTATTCATGCATTTTAACAGAGATGTAATATATTTAACACAAAAAGGGAAGGCTAGAGCTCTGTAGGAGTAACATTTCTGTGTTACACTAGATTTAAACTACTATAAAGTTAGAGTAAATTCTAACAAGATGGACACTTCAAAAGCCAGAGTAACCAGTAAGAAAAGGACTCTTAGCATATACATTGAAAAAAATCATTAAAGGAATTAAGTTACACTAGAAATTATTTACTTAATACAAAAAATCAGAAAAAGAAAAAAAGGAGATACGTATAAAGAACCAAAAATAAAATGACATATAAATCCAACCATATCAATAGTTCCATTAAATGTGAATGAATTAAACAAGGCAAAACTTGCCTGATTGGGTTTAAAAAGCAAGATCCAACTATTTGCTATCCATAGGGGGATAGCAAATGTGCAATGGAAGAGACACACTAGCAAACAGCAGAGAGCAGAGTGGTCAAACATACTGGGCAGAATAGACTCCAGGGTAGAAATTTACCAGAGATTATCATGTCATTTCATGATACAAATAATCTATCTGTACTTTTGGTTTGTTTGTTTTGCAGCATTGGGGTTTGAACTCAAAGCCTCACATTTGTGAGGCAAGCACTCTACACTTGAGTCATTCTGCCAGCCCCTGTTAATCTATCAAGAAACTAAAACAATTAAGAAGTAAAAATTTACATATTGGGGGTGTAACTCAGTGTAGTGTATGCTTAGCATTTGTGAGACTCTGGGTTCAGGTCCCAAGGACACAAAACTTAGAGATAATTGAGAGAGAAATAAACATTTTAGCAATTATAGTTGGAAATATTACAGCACTTTCAATACAGGACAGGGATAGCTAGGCAGAAGAGCAACAAGGAAAAAGAACACTTGAACAGCATTATAAACTACACCTAACATGTTTATAAAGCATTCCATCCCACAACAGCAGACTATACATTCTTCCAAAGAGCACTTGCTACTTTCTCTAAGACAGACCTACATATTAGACCATAAAACAAGTCTCAATAAATTCAAAGTTTTGAAATACACAATCATATGAAATCATGTCTTCTTTGAATACAAAAAAATGGAAGTGCAAATCAGTAAAAGAAGCCTAGGAAATTCAAGAATATGCAAAAATTAATGCACTTTAAATCAACGGGTAAAAGAGAAATTTTTAAATATCTGGAGGTATATGAAAATAAAACTGCAACAAACTTATGGAATGTAACTAAAACAATGCTTATAAGAAAATGTATACTTTATGTACATATACTTATATTAAAATATACAAAGATCTCAAATTGATCATCTACCTTAAAACAATAGAAAAAAGAGAAAGATCTAAAACAGGAAAGAAGGGAAATAAAGATTTGAGCAAATATTAATAGAACAGAGAATAAAAAATCAAGTACACACATGCACACACACACACAAAAGAAAAAACTAGCCAGGCCTTGGTGGCTTATACCTGTAATTCTAGCTACTCAGGACGCTGAAATTGGGAGGATTGTGGTTCAAGGCCAGCCCAGGCAAATAGTTCACAGGACCCGATCTCCAGAATAATCAGAATGAAATGGACTGGAGATGTGGCTCAAGCAGCAGAGCACCTGCTTTGTGAGTGTAAAACCCTGAGTTCAAACCCCAGTCCCACTAAAAAAAGAAAAGAAAAGAAAAAAAACTAGTTGTTTGAAAACATCAACAAAATTGACAAACATCTATGATGGACCAATTAAGTGTGGGAAAGGGCACACACAATATAAAAAGACAACTTACTAAAGTCAAGACTAAAAGGGCTTACTATGGATAATTTGTACCAATAAATAACTTAGAAAACATAGGAAGATAAACTACTAACACTGACAAAAGGAGAAATAGAACAGGTCTATAACAAGAGATTAAACTAGTACAAAAACTTCTCAACAAAGTCCAGAACCAGATGGCTACAGTGGTGAATTCAAGAAAACAGTTAAAGCTGGGCGCCATGCCTCTTGCCTGTAACTGTAGCTACTCAGGAGGCAGAGCTCAGGAGGATCGCGGTTCAAAGCCAGCCCAAAGCAAAATAGTTCAAAAGACCATATCTCGGAAAAACCCAAAACAAAACAGGGCTGATGGAGTGGCTCAAGTGGTAGAGTGCCTGCCTAGCAAGCATGAGACCTTGTGTTCAAGCACCAGTATTGAAAAAAAAAAAAAATCGTTGAAGAAGAATTAACACACCCATCTTCACAAACTCTTCCAAAAACAGAAACAGGAGAAACCACTTTCTAAGTC